GTGCTTGAATTTTTGATATTGATCATTTATTTGTTGTTGATAATTTATAAAGATGGAGGTAGATACATATTAAAAAGTAAAAGTTGAAAGAATTTTCACCTGACAAATAGAAATCAAGTGGGACAAGTACCAAACTGATATAAGAAGCTACTAGTTTTAGTTATGAGGTTTTATAAACTATGCATCTATGTTATTTTGATAAAAATAAAAATATAAACTTATAGTAGTAGCAACAACAAAAGGAATGGCATATGACTCATATCTTCATTGTGCATTATGTCACTTGTTTTTTAAAGATTAATCTAATAATTGGATCTATAAGAGATAAAAATAGAAATGTTTATATAGGTATTTATATGGATTAATTTTGAATGATATTAAAAGTAAAGATATTATGTCATGTGCATATAGCTGCATTCCACCTTTATGTTCTACAAAGCACCAATTTTAACAAAATGATAAATAAATAGAAGGATGGTCATTAGACTAGAAGAAGTGAAAAGGGAAAGGAGCAGTGGAGGGCAAGAAGAAGCATTGGGGACGGAAATGGAACAAATTATATTCCATGCCTCTATGACTATATCAAAATGAACCCAAATATTACATATAACTATAATTTACTAATATAAACATTTTAAGAGACAATTCCTATATGATTTAAATGAATTTATGAATGCAATACCACCAAATAAAATAGAAAAAATATTTAATATAACATAAAGAAGTTTGCAGTCAGGAGTACTAGGGCCAGGGTCAATGAACAAGGGCTCAGACATCAGATGCAGGACCCATCCCACATAGGACCAGTACTTCCAAGCCCTACCATGTCTCCTTTCTGCCTTCATATTCCTCACTTCTTTTAATGCTTGAGCCACTTTTTGAAGTCAAAATTATTTGTTTGGCTAAAATAGATTCATAAATAATCTTGAAGAATTTAGGGAAAGACAATTACCCAATCTTTAGTATATCGTGCTCTGCCTGAAGCAATTTCGAGTCTTTGGAAGAACACCTCAAAATCATTACCACACCACAATTTACTAATCCTTTTAGGGAGAAAAAACAGAATTATTTTAGAATAATTTTTTATCAATTTTAGATTAAAGATCAATTAAACTAAACTCCCTCCCTATTATGACACTCTTAAACATGCAGAAAATAATGAGAGAAACATTAATTTGATCCTAAAATATTCAGTTTTATGGCTAGTTTATAAGTTCCTTTTAA